ATTTTCGTATCCCTTCAGATGCCTTCTTTAAATCAATATCTCGATAGTAGAGTTTTCATAAGCAAAATGGAATGGCAGTATTCTGAATATTGTTTTAGATATCGCTAATTTTCATAGCATGGATACAAATCTCAATCCAACTGCATAAAATGGGATAAAGGTTTTCTTTTTTTACTGGAACCTTTGAGATATCTCAACTATTATAAAGCAGTTGGAACTAAGAAGGCAGATTTATATAAAGTTCGGAGATAAGATGTACCTCGATATACGGAAGATATTCTGCAAATCTATATTGATCCTGAAACTTAAAAAAATCCAAATAGCGCCTTCCTAAAGACTTGTCTGTGAATCTATTGTGAATTCTTAATTTCTAATATTCTACCAGAAAGGCTCACTATGCTGACTGTTACTGGACTTCGGGGATATTCAAATTTATCAAAATTCATCATGTAGTTAAAAATCGATGGTCCCAGGATACATCCTAGTTTAGAGTTAGAGTAATTGTAGCAGTCAAGACACGAAGAGTTCTACTCTAACCTCTTACTGAATGCCTGCAGCATAATCAACCCCGACTTTCCAGAATCATCCACACATCTACAGTTAGATAATTTTAGTGGAACGAAGACCATTGTGGATCATTGCGTTCGTGTTTTGCTGTGACAAAGGAAGAAACAAATTCTACCGCATACCGATTTAAAAAAAATCGAAATAATTTTTTATTATATATTTATTCAATATTTCACTGTAATAAGTTGCCAACTAAAGTTGTAAAAGTTTCGTTTTTATTTAAGTCGAGACGCACATCTAAGTTTTTTTAAGAAGAAAGTCAGATGTAAATCTAACTAATATAAAAAATACAATAAGTAAAAATGCATTACTCTTCAAACTACCTCTACTATTAATATTATAAATCAACATTAATTAGCATGTTATGTGGTCTAGTCCTTCGCAAATATACACTCGTTGACTTCATGGCCAACGCTTTCAATCTGCGTCGCACTAACTTTAGCAAAACTTATGCCTTTAATTCTGAAGTCATCTGTGCAGCACTGTTGCCACTTCTTACTGCAAAACTGAATATTTATACTCCCACTTAAGCATTACGGCCCTTCATGCCGCACTCTCAAAATTTCGCATAAGCTTGTGCCCTCGTATAGCCGACAGTATGCTGCGCTCTCGTTTACAAATATGGCACACGCACATTTCACTTGCCATTCAAGCCGAGTTAATTTATGTTATTGCTGCGAATGGCAAATGTATTTTCTTACAACTGCTTCCACCTGCAATGCATAGTAATGCTTTAAGCCTGCGCGCCAAACTTTTAGCCTACAATGCCTTCCTTGCCTATTGTGTGTTGGGTGAATGTTGCTGGTGCCCCGCTGGTGCATGTGTAACAACAGTCATTTACATTTGTAAGCATTTTCCTGTCGCGCATCTCGTTTATTGCATTATGCGATTTTCTTAAGTGAAATCTTATTTTATTTGCCAGCATTTTTCCTTTGCAACACACCCCAATACACATACAATATATACTTGCATATTTGTTTTTTATGGATTTTTTAATATTTCTTCCATTTAACTCCGTCTAAATACTTTTCTATTAATCCCTTTATTAACTTTGTTATTGTTGTTGTTTTTTTAGATACCCAGTTTGCCAACGGTCTTCCGCCACATTCAGCGCTGGACAAGGATGCTGGTGTTAATGGACTCGTCGATATTTTATTGTTGAGGCAACACAATACAACGGAAGATGAGAAAATGCAATTGCGATGGCTATGGTACATTTGCCATTTCCTTTCCCATCAAGGGGGTGAGTGTTAGGAAATTATCAAATCGGATGTGCAAATCAATATATTTTATTCTAGTTTGATGGAGAGGGTGAAGAGTTTATAATAATACATATATGTACATATATATGTACAGCTATATATCATAACCTTAACATATGCCAATTACGAGTTGAAAATTCCTGTTTGAATGCCAGTGACCGTCTCACGAAGAATTTACAAGACACTGACATTATTGGCATAGGTACAAATACCCGTAGAAGTGCTACATATGGTACTTGTATGAATATAAAATATTTTTAATGTAGCAAAGCAGCCTGATTTTTTAATCGTTTCAAAGAAAAACACTTTTTGCAATTTTAACAATTTAACTGCCAACGATTACGGTGTATTGATTATTGGATCTTCCATTTTCAATACATATTTTGTTATAATAGCTGTTTCAGAGCACTGACATTTCAATATCCAAATTTGTTTCATCGACCATGCTTTAGAGAACTAGGAAGGAGAAAAAGTCACTTGTGGATGATCCGAAGGATACGCAAAAATATTTGCTGATTTTGAAAATATTTTGAATATGAAATAATAGAATAAAGAAATTATCACCTCTATTATATAAGGTGACTTCTACTCTATAATTCTGGTCTATAATCGATGCATTTAATACAGTATTTTATTTGTGTTAATGGTCATGATTTTCGGTATACTTCATCCACAATTCGGATTTATAAACGCATACAAACAATTTGAGAGTTTGCATCTTTCGGAAAAATTGTTTGATTGGCGCATCATTATATATATAAGCAATATACTGTATAATGAACGATGCGCAATTTTTTTGGGTGTAAAATAATTATCCTACGATCCGGTCTTAAATGGTATAGACATCAAGAATTAATCGAGGCCAGTTGTCAAATTTAGTTTTTTTTAATAAACTCTACAAGTGGATAAGGATATAAATAAATTGGTTGGTTGACCTATTCAGTTTGCGCAGTTTGTTGTCCAAATAAATTTTAGGTATTGTTTCTTAGCTTCGGCTAGCTAGGGCATAAGCACAACACACAAAGTAATCTTATAAACACAATACTGGCGTTTTTGATCTATCAGAAAATCTTACTTTCATTAATCATTAACTTTTGAACGTTAGTATACAATTTTTACAATGTGAATTCTGTTAGAGCATAAAATTTTTTGGTAAAATTATATATCTCGTATGATTTTCTTATTTTTTTGGCTTCACCTATGCATAAAAGATTTTTTTAAATGTAATATTTAATTAATAAGCTCGTAGAAGTCATATTGGAGGAAATTAATTTAAACATCCCACTATTTGTACTATCCAACATCAATAGGTATTACAATGTATATTCTATGTAAATTTTTTTTTTAACTCTTAAATCATTAGTCATTTTCAGTACAATTCGTACATATTAAGGTACGTCTTTTAAATACAATATTACAAATTTCAAATCAAAATCACTGATAATTGTAGTAAAATAAAAAGTTCTCGAATGTTTGCAAATCAAGTAATGCCATATTAACAGCAACCAACTTGAGATACCCCGGCAGAGCATTGTGGAGGGTTTTAATGCCCTTGTAATTCAGGCAATATTTGTCCTTTCTATCTATGACGTCTCTCGCGAAAAATCGCAGATTGCAAAAGCGCAAGAATAAAAAAAATAACATAATATTTATATTCATATGTTACAATAAAAGCATACAATTATAGTATATATTTAAATGTAACATGCACATACTTTTTGCAGAGATCATGTGTAGCGTGGTTGGTCTCAATCATTTGGCAATTTCATCTACACTCTGATGACAACAATTGCGTAGTTTGTCATATGTCATACAGCCATGGATGTGCCGTTGCGCTATCTTATTGTACATACACATACATAATGTTGGCCTTCACTGTATTTCTTTGTCATAATGCATGCAATCAATCAAATTGCATAACCAAAATCATTTATATCTGTATATGTTTTACATAATTTTTATATGCGAGCAGCATATTGTCGATCACCATGCAACACACCCCTTAAACGTAACAATTGTTAGATTTTTGATTCGTCAGCATTTTAATTATACTAAAGCATTCATATCAAACAGCACACACAT